ATTAATTTTTTTATTTAAAAATTTATTTATAATATTATATATTAATTTATTTAATAACATTTTATAATTGTAAGGTCATAATCCTTTACTAAAATTTATACATATGTCGTGTGGTTGTAACTCGTAAGTGTCCGAGTAAAGTACTCCTTGTTTTTTGACTCACTGAGTAATGAAGATTTTTTATTCATCTAAAAAAATTATAAGGCAACAATCCTATGTAGTATCGTACATAACCATATTATTGGAGGGTAACAAAGGTTTCCTTGAGACGTGTTGTGTTGTAGATCTTTTGTTTTTTATTATCTTAGAAATATATAAAATAGTAATTAAAATTGATAAAAATATACAATATATTTTAAAATTAATTAATGATAATAAATTTATATTTTTAAGATAAAATACTATAAGAAAAAAACTTATATAAAGCATTCCAATAGAAAGTCAAAATCTATTTACTACTTCTTGAATAGTAAAAAGTTAGAGATTCAAATCTTAATTAACTTTTTCTTCTTGCTTGTCTTATAAATTAAAAAATATATAATAAAATATTTATTATAAATTTATAATATTACTTTCGCATTGTAATTATATTATTATTTTTTTTTTTAATAATCTACGAATTTTAAGAGGTAAACAGACATTTTTTTAACATACGCAAACTTTATCAAAATCTGGGCCACTAAGCCCATCCCAAGGCATAGCCCATCTCTTAAGTAATTAACGTGTCGAATTTTTTCTATTGCACCACACCTCGTCGGTAACTCAACCTTGCTGGCGCCTTAATTTACACAATTAAAATTTTGATGGCGGCCAAGATTATATTAAAGGTTTTAAAGTCGAACTGCTATAATACCTAAGCATAATAATTAACACCTCAAAAATAAGATAAAAAAAAGTAACATGCTATATTTTCATTTGATGGCAGAGAAAATTACAGACGGAAGCAATGGAGATGTAGCAGATGAGTTCTATTATTTATTGAAGGTTTTGTGAATAATTCTTTAATTAGTCTTCTCTTTTTATTCATTTTTAAAATTAACTACAGCATACTGAAGAATTAATTTGACAGGAAGACATTGCTCGTATGAAAGAAATTGGTTTGGACTGTTTCAGATTCTCCATCTCTTGGTCTAGAATTTTACCTCGTAAGATTGCATCTCAATACCAACAATTTTATAAAAATATTTTAGTGAAATTAACAACTTTAGGATAGCTTCGTTAGCACAAAATAAATTTTTAGAAAAGTATACCTTTTATTTTTTTGATATTTGGCATATAGAAGAGAATATGATAATGGAAAAATATTTTTGTTCAACGAAAAAAGGAAAAAAGAAAAGCTTGGATTCGAAGTTACTCTAAAGCTGCTACAGATCTTGTGTAACGTTTTGAGCTACCCCAACTGTTGTTCACATATGCGAGCCAACCCTAATTAACATTGGTTCATGCTATGAGTAACCCCGGTCCTCGGGTCATGCCAAGGGACTTGATTTGAGCCACCCTCGTCTCCAGTCAAACCATAAGCCACCCTTGAGCTGCTTCTATTCGAAGTCACGCCTCCAGCTGCCATGGAGTGAGGGTCGTTCACCAAGTCGCTCTAGAGTCCATAGGCAGAGCCAGAGGGGCAGTGAGGGGGCACAAGCGCCCCTAAACCTTTTTTGAAAGATTAATTTGGTCTACTAGGTTATTATTATTATTATTAATTTAATCCTTAATTATTTCATACCATTTTAGTTATTTTTTAGCTTGTTTATTATTTAAAATTACATTCGGTGATGATGAGGGTGGTGAAGAAAAATAAAGATTAGTTGAGTGAATAATAATCAATATCATTCTTTCACAAAATGTTTGCTTATTAATGTTAATTTTCTTTTTTTCTTTTTTTCTTTTTTTTTTTGTTCATTTAGTATTCTTCTAATAAATACAATTTATATTCATTTTGTCCTTCAATTGATGACATCTATACGTTAACAAGAACTATTAGTTTGTCCTTTAATATCTTTATTTTTACTTTTTTTTTCTTTTATTGACTTTTAATCGACATAGAAATGCATTGTTTTTGGTCAAGATTTCATTTTAACCGTCAAAAATCTTTCTCACCAATGTATGAGTGACGGGGTTTAGGACAACATTGAGACAAGCCCTGGGGTCTAGGTGGCTTATAGTGTGACACAAGCTTAATTTGTGATATCTCGAGCACAATCTGAGATATGTGGCTGCTCAAGGCTTGACCAAGGTTCAGGCAACTCAAGTCATGACTTAAGGTTGGAGGCGTCTCGAGCCTTAACTTGGGCTCCAAGGCAACTTAGGTTGACTTGGGGTTGGAGGGCTCGAGGTGTGACTCAAGGTTTGGAACAATTTATAACTTTGGTTAATATATTAGGGACCCAAAATAGTTTTAGTTGTGACTTGAAGAATTATGAAGCAGCTTTAAACATCACCCAAGTTTTAGGTAACTATGAATGTGATTGCTCTGGGGTGGCTCAAAGAGTTACTTAGGCTCTAAGAGTTACTTAGGCTCTAAGATGGTTTGTGTGACCCATGATTTGAAGCAGCTTTAAGACATAATCCCAAAGTGAACCAAACAATGACAAAGATTTAGCATATAAAATTTTCAAAATATGTCAATCAACATAATATTTTTTAAAAAGTTTTTAAAAATTACTTTCCACAAACCATACCCACACTTAATATTGTTTCTTTAAATTATTGGTGTGAACTTGATGCTAACTTGTCATCTTTTTGGAACTTAAATAGTGGGTAAAATCAGCGGCGGCATAAATCAAAAAGGAATCAATTTCTACAATCATCTCATTGACTTACTCCTATCAAATGGTTAAACTTCATTCTCTTTTTCAATTCTTATATATATCTCAATTACCAAATTTACTAGTTAACTTCCACTAATTTTTTTAATTTTTTGCACTATTCCAATTTTCAAACAGGAATACAACCCTTTGTTACTTTGTTCCATTGGGATCTTCCACAAGCACTCGAGGATGAGTATGGGGGATTCCTCAGCCCGAAAATTGTGTAAGTTAATATCACACTAGCCTCTCTTTTTTCTTTTTTTTTTAATTGATTAAGCAACTCTTTGCTATGCTGTCATTCACTCATCCAAATATTGTATGATTGATGTAAAAACTTTTTACTTTTATTGAAAAGATATTAATACTAAGTCCTTTAAGTCATTAATGGTAAATATTACACTAGTAAATTATAAATTAATTTAGGTGTCTGTGTCATTAATTAATTGGCTTTTTAATTTATTCTTTGTTATTTTCAATTAATTTTTTTTATTAGGGACGACTTTCGGGATTATGCCAACCTCTGCTTCCAAGAATTTGGCGATAGAGTGAAACAATGGGCGACCCTAAATGAGCCAAATTTATTTTCCAAGCAAGGTTATGCAACGGGCGAAGGTGCACCGGGTAGATGTTCTATCTATATAGGAAATTGCCCAGAGGGAAATTCAGCAACTGAGCCTTATATAGTGATGCATCACTCCATTCTTTCTCATGCAACCGCTGTACAATTGTATAAAGAAAAATATCAGGTTAGTAGATACTTTTCTACTAGTAATTCTTACAAATATAGACATACTAATTTCAATTTCATTTTACTCAGGCCTTGCAATATGGAACAATTGGGGTTACAGTGAATTGTAATTGGTATGTGCCAAAATTTGATACAATTGCAAGTAAGAGAGCTGCCCAAAGGGCTTGTGATTTTGACTGGGGATGGTACGTAAAGAAACATTTACATAATATTTCTATGGCAGCATTATTTTTTTAATAATAATTGATGGACCCAATTATTTACATAGCGTGAAACAAAAATAACAAATCTAAAACACATTTAGGTTTAATTAACCTTGGAATCTTCTAGAAAATGAAGGGAGAATTCTTTGATAAGAAGCAAAATTTTTATAGAATGCAACTTGTTCTGGACATTGGCCTTACATAAGTGGCATGAACTTGGTCTCCAAAATTACTTGAGACTTGATGACCAAGTTGACAATAGTCTTGCTTACCAAGACTTTGGCTTAAAGACTTTAAAAAATAGTAAGGAAATTAAACAAAATAAAATAACATAATGCCAGCCCAATGCATAAAATATAGCCTAACCCAAATTGTCCAAACAATCCTTCTTTTTTTTTTTTTTTTTTGTCTTTTCAATGTTCAAACAATGTTTATCTTTGCCAGTTTCAAACAATCTTTATTCCTTGGCTTCTTCATGTCCCTTTCGGATTCGGCCCAATAATTCGCAGCTATAGTGTGCACATCTATCTCCCGAGTTGTCGGGCAGGTGGAGACGATTTTCTTCTATTTTTTTACTCTAATTTTTTAGATTTAATTTAAATAAAAATATTCAGACATTACCAAATGCTAAGCCTTAGTCTTAGGTATGGGTACTTAGAATTTATATTTAGTTTAGAGTTTACATAATTAGTTTAGAATTTTAGAATTTAATATTTATGTTTTAACGTTTAAGGTTTATACAATATGGCCTGGGATTGGGGAAAATTATGATATTTTGATAATTAAAATGTTAAGATTAATAAAGAAAAGATTAGAATATCCTTAATGAATCAATACATAAAAAGAATTTATTAAGGGTCTTTGAATAATTTCAAAAAAAATCTTAACATTTAAAATGTTAAGACATCTTAATTATCACTTTTTTTATATGATTTAAGGTTTTAAGATCCGTAAACATTTAAAATTTTAGGATTTTTAATTTAAAAATCAAAAAATTACTTATAACTTTGATTGATCCAGTCCTAGCATAGCAATACCCTTGTTTACCTTTCTAATGTTTTTATGGGAGCAAAAATGGTTGAAATTGTTTCTTTTTTTTTTAAAGGGCTATTCATCCATTGGTTTATGGTGATTATCCCAAAATAATGAGAGAGAATGTAGGGAACCGACTCCTCAATTTCACGAAAGAACAGTCTGAAATGATTAAAGGGTCATTTAATTTCCTTGGAGTGAACTACTATTCTACAATGTACGCCGAAGACTCTGGATATGATACTGGTGCCAACTTGAGCTACACCACAGATAGTCATGTCACTACTTCTGGTAAGCTTCAACAACTTGACACTTAAATAATTTTGCAAATTATAATGAGCATGCATTGCAATATGTTCCTAAATCATTAATTTGATTTTCATTTTACCATTACAGCGGAGAAAAATGGGATTCCAATTTGCGAATCGGTGCGCACCGTCTTTAGCTACTTTTCTCATGAGCTCTCAAATTGAATTAATACTTTACACCATTGGCAGAGTTAGGGGGTCCTTATTGTCTCGGGTTCCCCTAAGCTTTTAAAAAATTTTTATGGTTTAACAATTTTTTTTAATCATTTTTATCTTAAAAATTTTATTTATTTTACATGATTCTAATCTATGTTTTATTGAATTTTCATTTTGCCCCCTTAAATTTTTTTTTTT